CACGCACACACTCTAAAATAAACTACTACTTACTACTTGTACTAGTATTCCTATTTCGTGATTTTTCACTTATCCCGGGTCATCAGGGTATGGATCCCCCACGATTAAACGAGTGACTACTGTATAAAAAGAATCACTATCACTTGGGTTGCCATGTCAAAATCCAAGATGGCCACCATCATATACTGTAATTTCTGATCTATAACTGCTACTTTTTTCACAGGCTTTGAACCCCGCAGCTTATACAATGCTGCAATTAATTTATGGTTGTTGTTTTGTTTTTTTTTGACGGACTAACGAGCTTCATGGCACCAAAACATTTAGCCTCGTCACACCCGGGCGCTCACAGAGCTGCCCAATACACATCTCTCTTGGGGGAGTTAAGAAATCAGGTCTCTCTTGTAAATGAGTCCCCAAGGCTCAATGGGATTAACCTGTCTAAATAATGTTTGAATGAATGAGTGGGTCCTCTTGACTCAGTGAGACTACCTATAGAAATAAAGGTTAATAATAATAATAATGTAATCAGACCAATTAAATTACCAAACAGGTCACAGTGAACAAATGAAACTTCCAATTACAGTAGTCCCTCGTTTATCGCGGGGGATCCATTCCCTGAAGACCCACGATAAGTGGAAAAACGGCAAAGTAGGAATAGTAGTACACGTAGTATGTAGTAGTTTATTTTTATTATATATATATATATAGTAAGTTGTATTATATCCATATTATCAATATTAATGTTAATTAGTTAATGTTATTAATATTCTAAACAATGTTTCTAAACTCTAAAGGCTCTAAAAGATCACAGAATGTCATGATTTAAGCTCCCTGCCTCCTCTGCTCTCAGCCACCTGCAAGCGCTCTTGGCCACGCCCACTTCTCCTCTCCGCACGGTGAACAGCTGATCATGCACGAAGAACACAGAAAGGTTTCTCTTGAAAATGAGTTCTTGTGACTCAATGAGACTACCTGTTTAAATAAAGGATAAATGAAAACAAAAAAGACCAAATGCACGGAGAGCAGCTGATCAGCTGCAGCAGGAAGCTTCTGCAGTAAGGGCTGCGTAAAAATGCAGCAGGTGCTAAATAATTTAAAATAATTCATTTTAAATAAAAATTCCATGCCGATCGTGCGGCTCATCAATCAATCAGCCACTTGTGTGTCATGTCCAATCTTATTTTGAAAAACCGCAATAGAGCAAGTCCGCGATAAACGAACCGTGAAGTAGCGAGGGACTGCTGTACCATAAATCAAACACACTCAATACTTCAGTTATTTTGCGCTTCGTGCACAGACCGTCATCATGGAAAACACACGAACAAATGCACGATGCAGCTTTCAATGTAAAGGCCGTCGATGTGGCTGTCCAAGGAGGAAATGGAGCTGCTGCACGTAAGCTCGGCGTCTCCTGCCAGGCTACTGTTTTCATTTATTTTCATCCAGCCGTGTTACAGGCATCGTCCAGAAAAAAACATTTACTGTACATATTTGTGTATGTTACTGGTACGTATTAAGTTATCAGGTTTAATTCCAGTCATCCCCAGAACTACAAACATTCACTGTTCAAAGCTCTCGGTAACAGTGGACGTTTTTGTACAGTGTGTGTTTTTATTTTGTTTTTAGTAATGTTTGTGTCCTGTCTTTGTTCAGGATGGCTCCAGAGGTAGCAGCCGTGGAGAAGAACGGGGGCTACAACCAGCTGTGTGACATCTGGGCCGTGGGCATCACGTCCATCGAGCTGGCCGAGCTGCAGCCTCCAATGTTTGACCTGCATCCAATGAGGTACGTCTCATCAAGAAGAGTCATGAAAGATTCCTGCGCTGCTTCCTGCTTTTGTGTTTCTTTGAATGTTACATCACGTCTTAGTGGCTCGAGCGGTCATCCTGTTTTAAAGCGATACGTTCAGGATATGAATAGAAAATCCTGAAGGCCTTATCATTAAGTTTTGGGAGCATTCTCTGAACTCGTTTCTTTGTCCTGTCTAGGGCTTTGTTTTTGATGTCCAAGAGTGGTTTCCAGCCTCCTAAGCTTAAAGACAAAAACAAATGGTGAGTGTAACCAGTGTGCTGTTTGGAAGGTTACCACGTGATGCGATCTTCTACCATGTGGGTGCTTTCAAACGTAAATGTCTTCTCTTACAGGTCTGCTGCTTTCCATAACTTTGTTAAAGTTTCTCTCACAAAAAACCCCAAAAAGCGCCCCACAGCTGAGAAACTTCTATCGGTAACAAATCTCACTCTTGTCCTTTACGATTGGTAAAATATTATTTTTATATTTGGAATAATTTGAAAATTTAAATTTTTTCCAAGTAAAGAATCTGAGGTTTTTTTTCAAACATCAAACACTTTTGCCTCTTATTTGAGTTGGTGTTGAAATGGCACACAGCAGGAGATTTAGTGTTTTGGGTCATCCGTTTCATCCGACTGTTGATGAGACTGTGGGAAAAATCATAAAACAAACTATGATTTTGTAAAACTTTCAAACGTATTAAATGCTCATACACCTAAAGTTTGGCTTCCTGTGAGTTTAAATAATTTTCCCACAGTATGTGTGAATTGTAGAGCTCCTAAGAGGGCTGTTTGTGTTTGACCAAAATCCTGTTGATTTACATTTTATGTTTTATTTCATCAAGATACCAGACAAAAGGTTGTTTTTGAACGTGTTAAATGCATATTGACTGCTCTTTTTTTATGTCTACATTTACTCATTATCTGTATTAGTTAAACTTGTTGAAAATAGTCCATATTGATCAAATAAAACCCATAATTATATTCTGAATAAAAATGTCTTTAATCCTGTTTTTTTTTTTGCTTCAGCATGTGTTTGTGGCCCAAACGGGGCTGACACGGAGGCTCGCCGTCGATCTCTTGGACAAAATGAACAACCCAGATAACCACCAACATTACGTTGGAGGGGACGATGACGATGACATTGAGGTAATCACTGAATACGTTATAACATTATAATCTTTCTTTTTATCAAAAATAATTCATCATCTTTTCTGACTCGCCTCTTGCATTCTCCTGAAGTGTCCCTTCCCCCCACTTGTTCTCTTCATTAACATTATTATTCCAAAGGGGGTCTACATTACATTTATGTAGCAGCCAAAGAGGTGGTGCCAGTGCCTTTTCGGCGTCATTGTGCTTTTCTTGCCCAGACAGCAGCGGCACTGTGTTGGCCACGATGAGTGAAAAACACCCGGAGGCTATTGACTGCAAGCACTGGAGCAAACAAACAACTGCTCGGATGCATGATAATGTGATGATTCTCAAGGAAACGGCTCCCGGCACTTCATGACTAACAAGTTTCACAAAGGGTTTTTAACGCATAACTCAGGTTCTAGTGTTTTCTTGAAAAAAGAACGTCCGCCATTTTTTTTTCTACGGTGTCAAATATCAACATCTTGCACACATGACCAAACTTTGAGCCCGAGAGACCGAACGCTCTGCCCGTTTGTGTCTTTCATGGTGAGAAAGGAGCTGCTTAGCTTCTTGCAATTAAACAATATTAACACTAAAAGACAAATTTTTATATGTTCAGTTCTTGTCCAGAATAACTCAATCCCTCAGAGACAGGACATTGGCATACTGCTGGTTTTTATTACGTAACGCAATCATCAACATAATCTAAACTGTTTCTGTCCCTCTGCAGTTTACCGTATTTTCCACCGTACTCGTTGCACCGCCCTATAAGTCGCATCAGTCCAAATCTGTCTAATAAAGTGGAAAAATCCATAAATACGTCGCATCTATTATGTGTCACCGCTGACAACCTGGAAATGTGGGCCGGTGTTGTGCCAAAAATCGATGGGCTGCCAAATGGGAGCGTGCACAGGAGGACTTTAACAAGAATTTAACAAGATTAACACCTAAAAACAATTATTGTTTGCTCGAAATTATAGCAAAGGTGTCTCAGTTTTAACGTTTCCTTAAAAAATGCACTTTGACGGTCAAATCAGCTGCATTTCAAAAGCCGATACGCAGAAGTAGGCGCGTGCACGGGAGGACTCGCTGTGCATTTCTTTGAAATTTAACTAGATAAGCACCTAAAACAATTATTTGTTTGCTCGACATTATAGTAAAGGTGTGTCTCAGTTGAACTTTGACTTGAAAATTGCACTTTAATGGTCAAATTAACTGCGTTTCTCTGGGGCGGCGCAGAGAAATGAAGCTGATTTGACGTTTCCTCCAGGCGAGCTGGACGAAGGTGGCAGCATATGGCAAGCTGATTGTGTCATTAATAGCCACTTTTACCTTTTACATGACACAACAGCATGCCATACAACTCGAGTGCCGTCTAGCGACTGAAAATGTTAGTGTTCAATATTTTCAGTGATAATGAAAACGGTCACATCTCTGCCAAGAATTGATTTATAAATACGGGGAAAAAACATAAGTCGCTTCTGCGTATAAGTCGCAGGGCATGTAAATTATGCTAAAAGCTGTGACTTATAGGGTGAAACATGTGGTAATCCTCTTCACTATTGGACACTTTAAAGCTCTGAACCCAAGAGACTAAACTGCAGCACAACCTGAGACTGATACAACTGAAGAACAAGTTTTTATCAAATCAGAAAAATTTTAAAAGAATATTTAGTACTGAGGGTGGGACACTTGTTGGAGCCGTCCCCCCACAGCAAGCAGCTCGTGCACAATGACCCGAGTTTTTGTACGAACGAGGTTATATTCGAATAACTTCAGAACCGGGTCAGGATCGGATCGTCTGTATTGTCCGATGCAGAAACCCCTGGAGTTGCAGGAGGGTGGACTTTGTTTGAGCCATGACTGTAAGCTGCTAAAACTCAATCACTCCGACTGTTTAATCCAAACATTGTGTTTTATCAACCGCCTCCTCCCTTTGTTTGTTTCAGATCATCCCTGATGTCCGACACACCATTCGTCCCACCCCCAAACAAGGCAAACCTGAGAGGACGCACTCAGACAGTACGTCAACACCAAGACCTTCCTGTGTGCTGTGCTCATGCCCACCATCAGTCAGCTGGGCTTTTTAGACCCAGTAGGATGTTTGAGGGCCAATCCGCTAATCTTGCAGATTTTATTTTATTTTTTAAGTTCTCAGTAACTTGTTTCCAGACAACTTCAGTGTTCATATAAATTTAGGGGGAGGAGCCTGTTTATTTGTACAAACCTAATGTTCTAGTAGTTTTCAGGGAAGTTGTGTTGAAGCTGAACACTGTCTGGTTTGCCAGTAGTCTGTGGTCATGACCCACATCATCTGTGATACACAAAGCTGAGATGGGTCTCACATGTTTTTATTTGTAGAGATGCATTCTTTGCCGTGTTAGTTGCGTGGTTGTGCTGTAATCTTTTGTACCAGATGTACATCCTGTTGGGTTTTATCTTAATTTTTCCAACATTATGACCTTTCCTTTTGCATGAAACAAACAATGGAACAGACCAAGACGGGCCAATTTTAAGTCCTAGCTTCACTGGGGGACACCAAGGGGTCCAAGTTAGTGACAGAAGAGTGAGAGGGTCTTTGTTGAGGTCCAAAGCTCACTTTCAAAGCTTCTTGAGGAATGGGACCGCACTGTAGAGCAGTGATTCTCAAACTGGTTCTGCCTGTGTCTCCTGTGTGGTCTCCTTCCACGAGTTCTTCACCTTCATAGATTTTGATGGTTCAGTTGTTGCTGTGCTTCTTAACAGCCTCGTTCATCTGCTCCTCGGTGGAGCAGTAGAAGAGAACTGACCATCTTTGTTCATCTGCTCCTCGGTGGAGCAGTAGAAGAGAACTGACCATCATCGTTCACCTGCTTTTCTGCATCAACACTTCCACATATTGAAACATACCCCTGAAAGAAAACCTTCTGCCCGGACCTGGTGTTGAGAACGGGGCTGTCTGAGACGGTCTAATTTTTGTTACACAGCTACGTCCAGTTCTACGTCACAGGGCCCTCCCTCAGCTGGTCTTACCTCCCGCCAGCATCAATGCTCTTTTGTCTGAACATGTGTGGCCTTTATGAATTTGTTGCCAGCCAAGGTAGTGTTGGTTTTTTCCCACAAAGACCCATCAGGGTGGGTTAGCTTCAACCCCCCTCGTCCCCTCGTTCCATTCAGAAATCCCAGTGAAGTGGCCAGAAGGTGTCCCAGCTTGAAGTGTTTTATGAAAGAGCCTTGGGTGTTGGTCTGCAGGGGACAAGCTGTGACCCTTTGAAGACCAAAGGACCAAACTGGTGTTTTTGGGTGTGGCTGCATCTAGGCGTAACAAAGGTCACCATCATAAATTGGGTTGCCATGTCAATCCAAGATGGCTGCCACCCTGTATGTACGTATTTAAACGTTGTGTTGGATGACCTGAAACTAAGCAAACGTCTCTAATGATTCTCATGTTTTGGGTCACCAACACTGGATAAGACAAGTTTTAATCCTGTGTGTAAGATCATAACTCTATTAGAAAACATCCCCTGATAAACATCTTTGTAGACATTTTATGATGGTGTTTGGATCGAGCAGGTTTAGTTTATTAACTTTACCTCTCTATTATCTGTTTTTAAAAACCAACACAACTTCCAGGTTTAGCAGCCAGATCTCTCCTTCTGCCGCTCTTACGTCAGAAGAGCATCGTCACATTTATGCCTGGCACCAGACCAGTTAGTCCCACTGGGTCACATCTTTCGCTCCATGTGACCTGAAACCCAAGTGAAGAAGATAATTTATTTTCAAGTCTTGCTTCCGAACAGGTTTTCTCCACATGAACGGTTCTGTTCAGTTTCAGGAGTGACCTGTGTTTACCTTTAATGACGAACTTCTTCCTGTCTCGGACCAAACGGTCATAAAGCAGCATCTTAAATCCGCTTCATGGACGCCGGGGCCATTTTGGTCAAACCTGGAAAACATTTTGTTTAATCTCATCCAATGTCACACTCAAGTGTGTTGTGAAGGATGCTCAGCTACCACCACAATAACCTTTAGGTCAAAATCTGTAAAATAGACTGTTATTGTTGTAGACATTCATCCATTGATGATTTCCTGTAAGTGTCATTAGGATTCTTTGTGTGCTTTGAGATATTTTGCTGACAGACTCTCGAACAAAGTCAAAAACGTTTCAGTTGTTTTCCTTGGCTGCAAAGAGTTTCTTCTAATGATGGAGGGTTTTGTGTTTTGGTGTTTGCTGCCCTCTAGTGTCAAAAGTGTCCAAGATAAACGACTGAAGTCTTTTTTGTTTACAGGCGACAAGATTCACATCTCGAAGGAAACTGAGGCGCATTCTGAAATGGTAAAGAAACTTCTTTTGATACAAAAGGCTCAGTTTAATGTTCGTTTGCTGCTTTTTCAATACAGAAATAAAACGAGCACATCTGCCTTTCCACAGGATGTGAATAAAGATCATGACTTCCCCTCGCGATGGAGTCCTTTTAGAGAAGGAGGACTCACACCCAGGTACTGTACGGACCGGGAACTGTCTCACGGTCTGGCTTGTGTTGGATAAATGCACTTTGTGTCCCCCGTCACGGAGCAAAGAGGGGAATTAGAAATACCCTTTAATCAATTTGTGCATGTTGTGAGCATGTTAACGTGAAAAGTAAGTGAGATGCATGTTGGTGTGTGGAAACATCTAGGCTTAAGAAAAATGCCTTTTGAAAATTTAGTTGCCATGTCAAAGTCCAAAATGGCTACCACTGCATATGCGTGTGCACGTGTATATATTCAACATTTATTTGTGCAGGTTAGTGTCATGGAGTCACGAGGACTCATTTTCAAGAGAAACCAGTTTGACAACAAATAAACTACAGACAATAATTCAAAAAGCAATTAAAAATAAAACGAGTGGTTATAAACACGGTCAAATCAAGTTAACCTCAAGTTAACCTCAAGTTAACCTCAAGTTAATAAAGTTAACCTCAAGTTAACCTCAAGTTAAT